TCTATACAGAATATCTTCTGGTTCTTTTCTGGATCCATCCACTATCTCTTGTCTCTGTCTTGTGAATTACACTTTTGTTACTGGAGCAGGTAAAGCATACAACAGATACTTTCAGCATTATCGGAGCACCAAGTGGAAGCTTGGATGAAACACAGCAGACTTCTAAACAATGAACACCTGCAACTTAGAAGAAATAAAGTTGGGTTTTAAGCGTTCTAATATTGCAATCCAAACCCATGATGTAATGACAGTAATTAAGAATAATTTAGTCATTGAATAATAATTTCAGTAGATTTAATCAAACAAAACATGAACATATTGGACATGGCCTCAAGACTGTAACCTCTTCACATTCTGTTGAAATAGTCAATTACTAGCCATATCTTACACATTGCTGTTTTGAATCATTAATATGTGGATGACAGTTGAACTGGATAATTTAATGTATGCCACCTGCTGGAAAGAAGACGTATTGCTCTGTTGGCGTCGTTTGGACAACAAAAACAGAGTTAAACTCTCATTTCATAAACAATCTTTGAGCACACAATCCAACAGCACGTTTTTGGTCTAGCATCACTTTACAAAACGTTTGCATTAAGACACTAAGACTAGCTGGTCCATTGTAAAGGTCAGTCCACCTTAAATGATCAGCAGGTGAAAGGCAGGACACGGGAACTTGGTCCTGAGGAGATGTAACGATTATTAAACAAGAAAGTTGTCGAGTCAAGGGGTCAAAGAAATGAACATTTGTGATTATTAGCGAATCGGTTGCAAGTGGGTGAAATCAGGTTTAGCTTAGCTTAACGTATTACATGTAACGGCATTAGGTCATCAGGATATAAAATAGGCAAATGTGTTCCCTTACAGTTACAGAAGCAAAAACAATCAGATAACAGGTATATTTATGTAAAACAGGGCTCATTAGCAGGATAGCAATGATACAAAACATTTAGAAATAAAGAACAATACATCAAATCATCCTATATCTCTATATGGAGACTTGGAGCCCTCAATCCACAATAAAATGGTTCATCAACAGTCAGTGGTTAAGGTATAGATCAGAAAATCAGTATAACAAAAACATTAAACATATTGTCCACTTACGTTGATAAAGATAGAGTTCATTTAAGTCTTATATGAATGTTGTGCAACAATGTTAATCGAGTCAGGCAGATTTTTCTCATGTGTGAACTGTCATAAGACTTATTCATTGTCCTCTCCATCAGCTTCTGTTTCCATGTGTTCAGCTGAGCTGCTGATTGGAAGTTCTGCCTCTTAGTTATCCTCAGTTTGAATTTCATTAGTTAGGCCCCAAGCCTGTTTTTCAGGTCTCAGGCTCGAAAATGACATTTCCAGAACAAATGACCATAACTGCACTTCTAAAAGGGGGAAATTAATAATCTTTTTTCTCAAAGCAATGATAAACCTGTGAGTTGGATGTAGAAAAGTCAGAATCAATATAGATGTTTTTTATTTTAAAGAAAATTCAGATTGAATATAGTAAAAAACTGTAAATTATAGTGTCCGTCCAAAGATTATTTTTTACTTATAGTGAAAATTACCCTTGGATGATGGTAAGGTAGACTAAAAGCTTTAGGAATCCAAAGTACAACATATAATAAGTACCCTGTATCGAAATTGATGCAAAACAAGTGACATTTGACCTTTTTAGAGAGGTTTAGCAAACAAAAACTCCACCTCTGGGGTGATTTGGGTGGAAATGTTTTTTTTTGCCGTTTCTCTGGAACCCATTGGTCGATTTTGATGATTGACATCTCTTTTTAACCGTTAGAGCCAATAGAATCGAAGTGGAATTTCCAAATACACACCCACGTTACCAAAAAAAAGGTGGGGGCTTCACGCATGGAGTTTTGCACAGAGTGAACCTATCTCACGCTCTGACATCTGAAAACGGGAAACTAGGTTTATTGCTTATGAATTATCAAAAATCATTTCAAAGTGACACAGACACATTGGATTAACCTATGGATTAACCTTCAGCAGCGTTTTTATCATTTTAATGACATTGAAGACAACTTTTGATCAGACAAGAACGAAGGTAAGAGATATTGCCGTGTTTGCTAACTAGCGCCACATGTTGTGATGTCTGTTTTTGTTGATAAGTTCGCAAGTTCTTATCATGGAGTGATGATGTAGGTACCTATCGATTCTGTGTCTCCTCGCGATGCTAATCGATGGGTTGGATGTGCAGCTACGATAAGTAATAAGGGTGTTATGAGTGAGTTTCTGTGCAACTGCCGTTAGCATTTGTTCGCTCGTTGCTAATTTAGGGGCTCAGTGTTAGCTTTGTGGTTTAAAAAAAAAAAGAAAAAGAAAAGATCAGTTAGCTGAGTTTCTTCCCGTTACATCGATATGAACAATTCATAGTTTATTACATCTTAAGAAGCCCTCAGACGCTGTTGCTTGCAGATGTTGTGGTTTCGGCCCCTTCGGCGGGTCCGTGGGGCTTAAGAGGCTTTGAGGACTGACGACCAACACACTTGTGTCTATTGAAACAATTACGCCATTTAAATCTTTTGTCACAAATATTGCAGCTGTATATTTCCTCTCCTGTGTGGACTCTCATGTGTGCCTTTAAACTTCCACTCCGTGAATAAGCTTTCTTACAGACTGAGCAGCTGTGTGATTTCTCTCCTGTGTGGACTCTCATGTGTTCCTTTAAATGTCCACTCTGTGAAAAAGCTTTCTTACAGACTGAGCAGCTGTGTGGTTTCTCTCCTGTGTGGACTCTGATGTGTTTTTTTAAACTTCCACTCCCTGAAAAAGCTTTCTTACAGACTGAGCAGCTGTGTGATTTCTCTCCTGTGTGGACTCTCATGTGTCTCTTTAAATCTATATTCTGTGAAAAAGCTTTCTTACAGACTGAGCAGCTGTGTGATTTCTCTCCTGTGTGGACTCTCATGTGTTCCTTTAAATGTCCACTCTGTGAAAAAGCTTTCTTACAGACTGAGCAGCTGTGTGGTTTCTCTCCTGTGTGGACTCTGATGTGTTTTTTTAAACTTCCACTCTCTGAAAAAGCTTTCTTACAGACTGAGCAGCTGTGTGATTTCTCTCCTGTGTGGACTCTCATGTGTTTTTTTAAACCTCCACTATCTGAAAAAGCTTTCTTACAGACTGAGCAGCTGTGTGGTTTCACTCCTGTGTGGACTCTCATGTGTTTTTTGAAATGTCCACTCTCTGAAAAAGCTTTCTCACAAACTGAGCAGCTAAAGGGTTTCTCTCCTGTGTGAACTCTCATGTGTCTTTTTAAATGTCCACTCTGAGAAAAAGCTTTCTTACAGACTGAGCAGCTGAATGGTTTCTTTTCAGCACTACGTCGTGGATCACTGACAGATTCATGTCTATTTTTCAGTAAGTTTGAGCCTGATGCAGGTTCTCTGGTCTCCTTCCAATCAGCACTGTCTTCAGTGTCAGGTTCAGAAGAGTCTTCAGTGTCGGGTTCAAAAGAGTCTCCAGTGTCGTCCTCAGTCTTTGGTTGTAAACTGCTCTCTGGATCTGAGTTCCTGGCTGGTTCTGGTCCTCGACAGTCATCTCCATCAGCTTCTGTTTCCATGTGTTCAGTTTGTCTTTGATGAGGCTGTGAGGACTGAGGTTTCTCTTCATCATCTTCACTCTTCACAGGGTCAGGAGTGAAAGTGGACTTGGTGATATCAGCCTCCTCCAGCTCCTGAAGTGTCTCTCCCTCCTGATTGATCCTGAGTTCCTCCTGTTCCTGCTTAATGTGTCGGGGGGGCTCTGGGTCCTCCTGGTCCAGACTGGTGCTCCACTCCTGCTGGTCAGGGAGAACCTCTTCTTTAACCACCACCAGCTGCTGGACGTCTGCAGGAAACAGGAAACACACAGTCAGACATTTTTTTTAAGTGTTAGCATTTAAAAATCTAATCACCATTAAAACGGGAGACATTTTTCAGCCCTAATAAATGCCTTTGTTTTTATACTTTAATATTATCTTTCTTAGTCCCACCTATTGTGTATTTTTGTTGGCTCAATTCACCTTATGTAGCCCAGCCCCTTTCCACTTCCAGTTAAAAATGAAAAGGAGTTATTTATTCTGGTTTAGCACTAGCTGCAATGTAAACAATGAATTGTATTTGGGATCGTTCACAGCTACACTACGCCTATAGAATGGTAATACTAAAAATATATTGTAGGGCCATATGGTGTCTTACCAGATTCCATGTTATCTGTGCTACTTGTGCCAGTCATCAAGGATAAAGCTGGGAAGATTAATGGCATTGATAATTACAGACCCATTGCTTTAGCTAGCATTCTCTCCAAAGTGATGGAGAAAATTCGGTTGGATAGGCTGGAAAGGTATATTACCACAGCTGACAACCAGTTTGGTTTTAAAAGAAAACACGGCACAGATATGTGTATTTTTGCTTTAAAAGACATTATAGCAAAATATAGAAGCCATAATTCCACCATGTTTCTGTGTTTTATTGATGCTTCCAGGGCATTTGATAGACTGAATCATTTCAAATTATTTGACAAAATGTGCCAGAGAGGGGTACCCAAGTACATAATAAGGATCTTAGCCTTCTGGTATGCACATCAGACTATGCAGGTGAAGTGGGGCAATACTGTGTCTGAACATTTTTATGTTGGTAATGGGGTCAAGCAAGGTGGGATTTTATCTCCTTTGTTGTTTAATCTGTACATGCACTGATAAAAGTAAAACATAGTGGTTATTCGTTTGATGTGTTTATTCTCACTCAAATAATTTTAAATTATTAGTTTGATTATTTAAACTAATATTCCTGATTTATATTTATGGTTGAACCTATTGTTTTATATTGATAGAATATAAACTGACAGAAGGACATTGAAACTGAAACCATTAATTTGTTCAATGTAGTTTTATTAAATCAAGCTTCATTTGCGCATGCGCATTGATGACACCGCACACAGAATGTTCTGGCAGTACACGCGCTGTCTTTCGCAGTTCGGTGGAGGTAACCAGCAGACTTCATCCAGACACTTGGAAAACGAGCACATGTGATACTGGTAAGGATAAAATAATATTAATATGTATATAATATAATTTCACATACCGAAACATTAACGTTTGTCTGAGTATATCTTCCGTTGACTCTGACCGGCTGTTGATAGCCCTTATAAGCTAACGCTAGCATGCTTTATTCAGACATTAGCTTTAGCCCGCTTGGAGTTATGGGTGGCTAACGTTACTACAGTCCGGTAGCTCAGTTAAGAAAAGGTAACGTTATTTATGGGAAACGTTAGCCTACGTGTGTCTGGCCGTGACTCTGACTGAGTAGGCTGTAAAAGCTTGTGCTAACGTTTAGCATGCGCTAACGTTTAGCATGCTTTATTCAGACCACGCATTATCCAGTGAAGAACACTCAGCAGAGCATATACTTCTCAACACAACATTAACTGTAACGTTAAATGTTCTTAACTGAGCTAGCGGACTGTACCCATGACTCCAATTCGACTAAAGGCTAAAGTCAATGTCTGAATAAAGCATGCTAGCGTTAGCGTTAGCAGCGCTCGGCATGAGTCATGGCCAGATTCAAAGGCAGATCTACTCAGACAAACATTAAGTATCAACTTTAACTTTTCTTAACTGAGGCTTGGTGGCCTGTAAACAGTATGAACAGGCGGGCTGCGTGTTTTCTATTGTAAATAAATAGATAAGACTATGAATTTGTATTTATTACCAGAGTAGAAATTCTGGTGTTAAACTTCAATTTAAGGAATTTAAGTAAGTGGGCTTCTTTCATATTGACGAGCGACTTATATTTGAATTTTCGAGTTCAATTGATAAAGATATTGTAAATGTAACGTTAGTTTACAACATTGTGCTATATATCTTTACATCACCAAAATGTTGACCACTGTCCTAAAATAAAGTATAGGCTTTGAATAACGAATTTAAGTTTAATGTTTGATATATTTTTAATATGTCAATGATCTTCTTGTAGCTTAGACACTTTGATGGCTAATTAAAGACTAATGAAAGGTTTTCTCTTTAAACTTCAGGGAAGCAGCCGTCTATTCCTACTGTTCTACCCATGTGGATGTTCCTGTGAATGGTCATTGCTTGTGGTAAGTTTAAAAAAAAAAAAAAAATGTCATGAGGGTATTCGCTATAATCAGGCCACCCTTCAAATTGGGCTCTGGCAAACATGTAGTATTCAATCGATTTTGACACATCAAACAGAGCAATTTTCTACCAAATCATTTACAAAAAGTTACAGCGTTGTCTACTCGGTACACTAAAGGTATCTCTTCTATCTCCTGTTTCCTCAGTTATCCATGCATGTGGAAATGTAAAGACTGTGACAATTCATTTTCAAGAAGATCGGAACTTTTGAAACACTACAAGTTTGATCATCAGCATTATGGGCGGGGTCGTGCCTACCCCTGTATTCATGAGAATTGCCCATGCACATGCAAGACATGGAAAGCTCTACTCACTCATCTAAGCAAATTCCACTCTGCTCAACAATCTTCACAGAACAATAGATTTTCAACACTCAAGTGCCACGTTTGCGACAACAATCTGCATTCTACTGAGCCAGACTATTTTCAACATATCAGGCAGCATTTGAAAAATCATGAATTTGTAAATTGTATGTTTTCTGGTTGCTCATACAAAACAAATCATTACGGAGCTTTCAATACTCACAAATGGAGGAAGCATACCCCACATACACTTAATGATTTCAAGCCTGGAATTGTTGATGGGTATGATGTTGTAGAATCATTTGAAACGGGTACTACTGATCAGTTGAATGATGATTTGCCATCTGAAGAACTTCCTGATGAAGAATCAACAGTTTCGACAGATATTGAATTAAAACTTTCCTCAGTCCTACTTAAATTAGAAAATTATTTTCTTGTATCAAGTGCAGCTGTGAATGAGCTTCTAGAAGAGCTGCAATATTTAATTGGTACTGCCTCTGTGCCAGTTACCCAAAAGACTATAATCCACTTCTTACAAGATCGCAATTGCCAAGTTGATGAATCAGTTGTGAAAGAGTTGGCCACTGAACTTTGCACTTCGAATCCCATTCAAGCTGCAATAGGAAACCGTGGTCCACTGTCAACCACTTGAAAATGGAAGAAATATTATAGAAAACACTTTAATGTTGTTGAACCAGTGGAGTATGTGTTAGACCAAAAGAATAGAAGGTTTTTTCAGTATGTGCCTATACTAAAATCTTTGCAGCAACTTTTAAACTGTGAAACTATACTTAATAAGGCTGTACATTTGAAGGAAAAATATCAGCAAAGGGAGAGTGATAAGCAGGTATACAGATCTTTTTGGGATGGTCTTCTCTTTAAAAGACATTCTATTCTCTCAAAAGAGTGTTCGATTTCTTTGATTTTGTATGTTGACGATTTTGAAATATGCAATCCACTTGGGACATCCCGTAGAAGACACAAAATCTGTGCCTTATATTGGATTTTAGGCAATCTTCCACCTGGTTGTCATTCTTCCTTGTCCTCTATTCATTTGGCTGCATTGATTAATACCAATGATGTGAAAGTCTATGGTTATGAAAAAGTGTTAGAACCTTTGTTAAGGGATCTCATAACATTAGAACAACAGGGTGTTTTTGTGGAAAAGTTGGGCAAACATTTAAAGGGCACAGTGCAGTGTGTTGTTGCTGACAACCTTGGAGCACACGGTATTGCTGGTTTTGTTGACGGTACGTCTACACAGCAGCGTTAAAAAAATCTTGGAGGTGGGCGTATCTGAAGCTTGAGGATTTTTTGCGAGCAACCAATCACATGAATCTCCCGCCCGCGACATACGAAGCAAAAAAGCCTGAAGTAAACTGGATATAAACTCCCCAAAACAGGCGAAAACCTACCACTGTCTCTGCCACCTCCCTCCATGCCTGGCTCCTCCGGTTTATATCCCGGTAGATCTGGTCATAAAGCACCGGGTGATTGATTCGCTACCGCTAATTTCTCCTCCATTTTTTGGAATATGAGGAAATGACCTGCGGTATGTCTCTCCCAGCATACACGCCGTTTGATTGGCTAGAGCTTGAACTGTCAGATTTGCATACACGGGATTTGATTGGCTGACGCTTTCACCTCAGCCTCAAAAGTTGAACATTGTTCAACTTTGAATCCTCAAAATCCTCAAAATCTCCGCTCGCCTGCCCACAATGCATTTCGGTAGGGATGTCCCGATCACCTTTTTTTGCTCCCGATCCGATTCCGATCATTTGATTTTGACAATCTGCCGATACCGATTTTTCCCGATCCGATCTTTATGCAATGCATTAAGAGGAAAAAAAAGGTAACAGATAACGGCTGGTCATCCAACGCGATGAATTCAGCTATCTTGGCTGTTATTTTTTTGGCCTTTTCACTGTTCTGGGGTAGTTTCTCTTTCCTTTTAAAAGTCTCTGAAAGTGTCGGTTGTTTCAGTGCCGTTACCTGAGTGGCCGCTGTGTACTCGTCGTGTTGTTGTTGGTGGTGTTTGTATTAGATTGGTCATGTTGAACGTAGCTCTGTTCTTTCCACCACGCGGAACCTCCGCCTTGCAAACATTGCATCTGGCTGTTACACTGCCTTTGCTTTCAATTTTATAATACTTCCAAACTCCTGACATTTTCTCTGTCCCGACTCCCGAGTCACCAGCTGAACGTAGCCTCTTGTTAGCTTACTGCTACTATTAGACACTGCGCCCACTCTGTTGCCAGATTTGAGAGAAATAAGCAACCAGGTCTATGAAAACAAGCCCAAAAGAAGCAACACATACATGATGTTGTGTAATTTTAACCCAAAACTAAGGCCTCAGGATGACTTTAAGACGTGAACATGGTCATTTTTGTTTTGTAACATTAAATAAAATGTATAAAAATATTTTATATAAAAAAAAAAAAAAAAAAAAAAAAAAAAAAAATCCGATCCCCGATTTTTTTCTCCCGATCCCCGATCACGTGAAAATCACGTGATCGGCTCCGATCCCCGATCACGTGATCGGATCGGGACATCCCTACATTTCGGCGAAGAAAAGTGAGGGAAAGTGACGTCACCCCATTCAAAGTGAATGGGCAGAAGCGTTTCAAGATTTTTTTAACGCTGCTGTGTAGACGCACCGTGAGAGTTTTTCCAGCAGATTTAGTTGCAGGTTTTGTACAGCAGATAAATTAGATTTCCAGGCCAGGGAAGCTGGATGCTTTTCTCGGAGAACTGAGGAGAATCACAAAAATCATCTGCAAACCATTGAGGAAAATTCTTTGGCCAATTGTTATGGTGTTAAGAGAAGCTGTGTTCTTTCAGAAAAACTTTCCCATTTCAATGTTACCACTGGTTTTCCTCCAGACATTGTCCATGATTTATTCGAGGGAATAATCCCTGTTGAAATAGCTCTCTGTCTGACTGTATTCATTTCCAATAAATATTTTACTTTGGCCACTTTGAACAAGGCGATAGAAGATTTTCCCTATAAATGGACTGATCGAACCAATCGCCCCCACCCTGTTCCACTAGCCTATGCATCCAATAAAAAGATTGGTGGAAATGCACACGAAAACTGGAGTTCACTACGATTTTTTACACTTTTGCTTGGAAAGAAAGTGCCCATCAATGAACCAGCCTGGCAACTTCTTGGTGATTTAAAAGACATTGTGGACCTGGTTGTCTCTCCAGTTCATACTCCTGAGTCAATTGGTTATTTGAGCTTCAAGATCTCTGAGCACAGAGTGAGATTTAAGGAGGTTTTCCCAGACTCAAACTTTGGACCTAAACACCATTTGTTGGAGCATTATCCGCAGTTAATCTGTGAGTTCGGGCCATTGGTTGCGCTATGGACCATGCGTTTTGAAGCAAAGCACAGCTTTTTCAAAAGAGTTGTGCGGCATTCCACCTGCTTCAGAAATGTGCTACTGTCATTAGCTGAACGACATCAGTTTCTCATGGCACATCACCTTTACCTGTCCAGCTTGCCTGAATCCCCCCTGGAGGTAGCAAGTGTTTCAACTCTTCCCATTGACCTTTTGAAAGAGGACATTGCATTTGCTATTAAGCAGAGGCACCCAGACTTAGATGCTGTGTGCTTGGTCAAAAATGCATTTTACAGTCGCATAAATTACAGGATTGGGATGATCCTGGCACATGGCTCTTTGGCAGGGCTGCCGGAATTCACGGAAACAATCCAGATGATTGTTATCAAGAATAAGCTGCTTTTCATCGTCAGAAAGCTGAGTGCATGGTATAGGGAACATTACAGAGCCTATGAACTGAAACCGTGTCCTACAAAGAAGGTGGAACTTCTTGACTCAAATGAACTGACTGATCCATACCCATTGGCTGACTATACAGTTGGGGGAATGCGGCTGATAACTCTTAAAAGATACATTCATGTATAAGGTCAGAATGAGTATATATATATATGAACTTTGTATGTAATACTTTGTAAAGTATAACCCAATGCAATTTGAAAAGAAAAAATGCATTGAGTGTACACCTGCATTTCATTAATTCCCTCTATTTCTCTCTTTCTCTTAGAGCGCCATGGCTGATATTGGACCACCTGTTCGATTGCTGATCATCTTGAACGACGACAACAGCGTAAGACTGGAGCTTCGAAATGGGATTCCCAACTCAATAGAAGAGCTCATTGAGGAGGTCAAGAATTCATGTGGATTAGAAGGTTACATAAGGCTACAGTACAAAGACACTGATTTTGGGAACACATTTGTTAATCTTACGGGCCGTCTCCACAGCAGCGTTAAAAAAATCTTGGAGGTGGGCGTATCTGAAGCTTGAGGATTTTTTGCGAGCAACCAATCACATGATTGCCCGCGACATACGAAGCAAAAAAGCCCGAAGTAAACTGGATATAAACTCCCCAAAACAGGCGAAAACCTACCACTGTCTCTGCCACCTCCCTCCATGCCTGGCTCCTCCGGTTTATATCCCGGTAGGTCTGGTCATAAAGCACCGGGTGATTGATTCGCTACCGCTAATTTCTCCTCCATTTTTTGGAATATGAGGAAATGACCTGCGGTATTTCTCTCCCAGCATACACGCCGTTTGATTGGCTAGAGCTTGAACTGTCAGATTTGCGTACACGGGATTTGATTGGCTGACGCTTCCACCTCAGCCTCAAAAGTTGAACATTGTTCAACTTTGAATCCTCAAAATCCTGAAAATCTCCGCTCGCCTGCCCACAAAGCATTTCGGCGAAAAGTGAGGGAAAGTGACGTCACCCCATTCAAAGTGAATGGGCAGAAGCGTTTCAAGATTTTTTAACGCTGCTGTGGAGACGGCCCGTTACATCTACACATGCGATAAAAGATTTAACAGTGATCAAAGTTGTCGAATTGAGATACCATTAAATAGTACCCCTACAAGTGGACTGTACAGTGAAGACTCCTCATCTGGATCTGTGAATACAGATGACACAGTACTACTTAGCAGCTCTTCCTCGGAATCATTAAGAACACAGCAGTGGCCTAAAGTGTTTCCAATCCCGGTCTTCTCCTATGACACAGAATGTCAATTACAGAGAGGAAATGCAGAGTACACAAAGAACCAATCTAGACTGACACTAAGCTCAAAAATGCTTTCAGACATACTCGAGAAACTGGCTGATAAAGTCTACACATACAAAGCATACCCTACAGATGCTGACTTTAGCGATGTTGCTGAGGCATTGACATGCAAGCATCCCTGCCTAAAGGAACCAGGGTCTTTCAATGAGAGCTATGGATGGAAACAAAGGATGAAGGTAAAAATGGCTAACTACCGGACTCTACTCAGAGCACACGGAACATCTGCAGAGCTCAAGAAGAGTCCTACCCTGCGAAGAATTTAAAGAGAGCCAGGCGAGCTGAGGCCAACCATTTTCCATCCTTGCCGATTGGTGAGACTCCAGAAAGTATGGAGCAAGAGAGAATTTCCCTTTTGGCAGAACAACAGAAAATAAACAACCGGCAATCAATAAAAGAAAAGATGGCGAAGACGTTTGGATACCGAAGACAAGAAAGAGTTCATCAGAGGCCAAGCATTGAAGGCCTCTTGGAGTGGTGGCCTGCACTTTTTCACATGAAAGAGGTAATTCTTTTTGATGAAACCCTTGATTGTAAGCCTGTAGTGGAGAAGAAATGAAGGCCCAACTAACTAACAACTATAGACAGCCTAGGCAAATATGTTGACGTTTTATTTTTAATATATATCACAATATAAGCTTTACATCTATGACTCTTTGTGTCTATTTGGTGGTGGTTTTCAATAAATATGTGGATTAATTAATTTAAATGTTACATTCATACAAGCTGACTTGGAGTACTTTTAATCAAAACGTTGGCTCTTTATAAAAAATATGTGTATTATAAATTCTCAGTGTTTTTTGTTTTCTATGCTGCTTATATTTTCTAGGTAAATGCTGAGTTCATGCGCATAACAACATTTCCATTGGAAAAAAAGTTATTGGCGCAGTTGTACAAACACTCCACCAAACTGCTGCAGGTCATCAGGAGCAGGGGAGGAGTTGTGAAACAGAAGACCACCGGGATCTTGCAGGTTTTAGATGAGGTATCTATGAATGAGTTTTTTCTCTGTGGGATCAGTGGCTGAATAGTCCTTTTTTTTGCATTTGATTTAAAATATATATATAACTGTTCTTACTCAGACTGTGGACATCACCATCAGAAGAGAATGCATCCTGAAATCTCTAATGATCTACCTGGGTGAACCATCTCATCAAAGAATTCCAGGTAAGACCTCCTACTCACTCACAAGATGTTTGTTCATAAAAGAAAAATAACATATTTGTACTGCATGCAAATAACTGCTTGGTTAAAAAGCTAGTAATTGTTGATAACCTCCTGAGCTTTCCTCTTGGGCAACCATCCGACTAAACTGAGAACTTTCCTTTTTTCATCTATCCAGTATAATCTTGTTTTTTTAAAAGGTAGCTGCAAACTTGGAGAAACTTTTGCGCCTCAGGCCTGTTGAACTACACTCTGTGGTCCTCTTCCATTTCCCTTTTTGTTTGCATGATATGCAGGAAGCTGAGGCTGGAGAACTGGAGCAGGCAACAATGGCAATCTTTGTCATTGGGAAAGAGGATCAGTTTCATCGACCCAAAGACGTCAAGGTTCTCATCGAAGGAACAGAGGTCCTCAGCGGCTTGCCCTCGGTTGCGACAGCTTTTGCCATGCTCTTCGGGCTCATATACGCACTGAACTTAAGATATCCTAAAGAACTGCAATCCACTTTTGAAGTTGTGCAAAAAGTCCTGATGGAGCTTGAGGGAAAAAAGATGAGCCCAAAAGTGAATAGACTGAGAACCCAGCTGTTCATCCCAGAGTAGACACTTTGTTGCACTCACTCACTTGCAGTTACCATTGTTCTTGCATGGTAAGGTTTATAAAACCAAGGTTTTATAATAATTATGCATTGTAAAAAATGTGCAAAAAGGTTTTGTGTTCAGAAGTTGCACTTACAGTATGACCGATTTTCACTGTAGAAGTTATGCATGTCTGCTCATTTTCAGAGATTACATGTCTCACAGGCGCAAGTTGTCAGTGTTGCTTTAAAAAAGTGTGCAGTTAATTATAAGGACAAGTCCTTTTTCAAAGAGTTTGATGTTTGGAAGCGGCGCATATTACTGCATTTTAACTGTGGTACTTATTAACATGTCTGCTTAAGATCAGGTAATGGCTGCCTCAGAGGCCAAAGCTGGTTGTGTGTGTCACTACCCGATCTGCATCCCTGCCCGATCTGCATTGCGCATGTGCGAGATGGTCAACTCCGTACGGCAACCCAACTAGGACACTTGACACAGTGGCGTTTGGCAAAGCACAAAAAGAAAACAAAAAAAACCGAGAGAGATGAGTTATTGTTATTACAACGTGACTTCACTATTATTTAACAACTCTTTTTATTGGGTTATTTTATTTGGGGTTAAGTACATTGTGTAACAGAAGTTAAATTCATTTTTCACTTATTCTGACAATGTACTTAACCCCAAATAAAAGAACCCAGTGAAGTCACGTTGTAATAACAATAACTCATCTCTCTCGGTTTTTTGAGTTTTCTTTTTGTGCTTTGCCAAACGCCACTGTGTCAAGTGTCCTATTTGGGTTGCCGCACGGAGTTGTCCAATATGGCGGACCATCTCGCACATGCGCAATGCAGATCGGGCAGGGATGCAGATCGGGTAGTGACAGTGTGAACAACTTGTTTTTCATTCAAATAAATGTGCTCTAAAATAATTTGTTATTTTTCATTAAATGCAATATAATCATAACATCTTTAAATTATAATTGCTATACATTTCAGATACTGACAACTTACATTTTATATTTGAGATGATGTAAAATAATTGGTTTGATTTAGTTAAGAAATGGTTTTGAATTTAGTTTAATTATTTCAGGTTCAACTGGATGTTTTTTTTACATTCAGTCAGTAACAACACACTTTTTTCATTTAGGACAACGTAAAATAATTGGTTTACTTCACCATCAGATAATAGTTTGCCTGGAGTTAAAATATACAGATTGATCTGATGAAATGGACTTTCATTGAGTCAATGTAAAATATTTCGTGTGATCGATTACTCAAAAAAAATGTATTTGATCCAACGTTTTACTTTTATCAGTGTGGATGATCTCTCTAGGAAACTGAACTTGTGTAAAACTGGTTGTGTCATCGGTGCTACTGTTGTCAACCACCTTATGTATGCAGATGATTTAATCATCTTTTCCCCGTGCAATGCTGGCTTACAACAGCTTCTGGGGATTTGTTCCCAGTATGGCATTGATTTTAATATTAAAGTGGAACTATCATGCTATATTTAAATTATATATTGTAGGGCCATACCTATATAAGGTATATTTATACGTTTCTGTTTTCAAAATACCAAACAGATCATGCATTTTAGCCATACCTCATTTCGCTCTATGTGCTGTTTGCTGTCTACGGGGCTGATTCTGTGAGCTGCAGCTGACCACGCCCCCCTGCAGGAGAGGGGAGCCGTGCTCTGACCAAGTCAAGAGTGGGAGAAAAAAATATCTCTGTCCTCCGTGTTTTATTATAGGCCTATAGAGTCGTTATTCATTTGTTTTAAAGCTCAATAAATAACAAAGAAGACCTTTGACCGGCACTTTTCAAATTTTGTCCGGAAGATTTAAACTTTAACGGACATCTTGACCGGCGAAAGAAACTGAAACTGAAACTCTGCCGCACGGTCCCCTCATTCCTTGGAAAAGGCGGAGAGGTGGGTGTTTGTCATCTGCTGGTGGACTAACCGGAGAGAATTACAGTGCTTGCCTCGACGGGGAGGGATTGCATTGAATTAAAGCAGCGGGAGCAAACGCTTGCCTCGGGGAGGGAGAAAAAAAGCCACAGCGGAGAATAAACAGAAGGGTAACCATGGTAACTATGGGCGGGAAGTCTTCTTCGCTGCTTTTGTGGCAGACTACAGCGCCACCTACAGGCCTGGCATATGTACTACATCGTCTCCAGCGCTTTCGAGCGGCAATGGCCGGCCGTGGCCCAACCCCACATTCCCCTGATAGTTGGAGAGTTGGCCCAATAGCCGTAGCGCCACCGTCCTGACGTCAGGACAGTGTTCAAATCTGGATCAGTTTTTATCAGATCCGTTGCAGCCCCTTTTTTAGAGATTTGGGTATGGAGGAAAATAGAGAGGGTTGTGTTTTCTGACACTTGGTGAGTTCCCTGGAACACATATTCATGTATAAAAGACGTACAAAAGTGCATTTTGCATGATAGGTCCCCTTTAAGCCAAATCAACGAGGCGAACCTACGGACTTGAATGAGCCGGGTGGTAGGGCTGCTCAATTAATTGTATTTTAATCGCGATTACGATTATGGCTTGCAACGATTACGAAAACAACGTAATCAAAATAAAACGATTAATTTTTTATTATTATTATTACTTTTTTTTTTTGGTTTTTCAGTTGAATTATACTTCAAGTTCAGGGTAATCAACTGTTAAAAACATACTGTTCAAATTTATTTTCTCCAATAAATTGATGTTTTCAAAGTAAATGGATAATCGTTTTTAACAATCGTGATATCAATTATTGACCCAAATAATCGAGATTATGATTTTTGCCATAATCGAGCAGCCCTAGTCTTCAGTACAGGTGGCAATATTGTCACCTGCCTGCGCTCAGGCACAGGCATTTTGCATACTAGGTCCCCTTTAAGTAAAAGTACTTAAAAGTATTCTCAGAAACATGTACAGCACCTTCTTATGTAAAAGTAATGATAATGCAATAAAATGTTCCCTGTCAGCGTTTGATTTATGATGTTTCTTGATTATTGTCAGTGTCGCATTTTACTGCTGTACATGTTTAAGGTTGTACTTCTATAAATGATGATAGAAGAGGGAACCCAGCAATCTGAATACACCCAAAATGTAATTTTGTATTTCTTGTCTCAAGATGAGAAAATAAATATATACTATATACATATATTTAACAATGAATTCATGATTAAAAAATACATTTATAAATGGGGAACATTAAAAAAGAAGAGAGATACATAGTGGAACAACTGCAAAAGGAAACATTTATTATTTTATGAATTAAATATTTTCTACATTTATTTTTTATATTACTTTTTGGTCAATATAATTGCATGATAATTCATTTATTAATCCCTTATATGTAATGTATTCACTTGTCTTTAAATCAAAGAAATTACTTTTCAGCTTAAAAAAGAGTTGAAAGTGTTAATAAAATGAGAGCATTTCGGGCGGGCCTTAGACCGCTGCAGTGCTCACATGAACCAACACAGAACATAAGTGGGGGGGACAGAAACATGGAGAAAGGCACCAAACTCTTACATGGACATTTGTAATCTGTTCCAGGCGTTGAGATTGACAATAAATATTTGAAATGCTACTCTGTAAAGGGAATAGGCCTACTACTGTTAAAATAACCTTAAACCTTTTGTTTAAAATAAAAGTGCGCAAAAAACACATTTTGAATTCATTATTGAATTGTGTGCATAACAATGCAATTAATCGCAGAAAATCCTTTGATTAATCACGATTAAAATGTTTAATCGTTGCCCAGCAATAATAAATAGACTTAAGTGTTACCAAAGACTTTAACGTGTTACCAAAGAGTTTAAAGCAGGTGTGTCCAAACTTTTTTCACAGAGGGCCACATACAGAAAAATATACGAAGGGCTGGGCCACTCATAAAGGTGAGGGATAGATTGGCGAAGTCCCTCCCCTTCCGGTGGACCTCCATGGGACCTTATTTCGGAAAAATTATGTATTGAAGTCAATGGAGAGAGAAAGATTATCTTTCGATCCCGTTTGAATTGTGCCACGAATTACACATATGATGTTTGTCAATTTAAAAGATAATTTTTATTTTATATAATTTTGCAAATATTTTGTAAGATATCAGGGCATATTGTGATAACCAGGCCTGTCA